CCCCCCCCCATCGAACAGTGCCTTTGCAAGGCTGGAATTATGGTGATAAGGATTCAGTGTAAGATGTGGAAATCATTTACACTAGGCAGGAAGCTCGGATGATCAGTTAAAATTATTTGTCAAAATATGAAGTGAACAGTTGCATGAACTGTACATCCAGTATATACATTGATGCATTTTTAAAAAGCAAGTTACAAATGACATACGCTGTGTGGCAGGTTTTGTGAAGTGTTTATGTCCATTTATTAGATGTGTGTATGTGTTGCATATATTTTTTTAAGATTTATTTATTTGAGAGAGAGAGAAAGAGTGTGTGGGGGGAGGGGCAGAGGGAGAGGGAGAAGCAGACTCCTCCCTGAGCACAGAGCCCCACTTGGGGCTCAACCTTATAACCCCGAGATCACGACCTGAGCCAAAACCAGGAGTCCCACGCTCTACCGACTGAGCCACCCAGGCACCCCTGTGTTACATATTTTATGTAATTTGTTTATCTACATATGTCGTGGACATGGGCAAAGATTAGAAGGAGCCACTAGAAAGATGATTCTTCTTAGATACTGCTATTTTAGGCCATTTTTACTTTCTATAATTGAGCTTTTTTCCGTTCTCTTTGCATTCTGAATCCGGTAGAATTACTTTGTTACATAGAAAATTTCTGTAAATATTAATAGAAAGCATTATTAGCCAGTTGTGTAGAACTTTTCATACACTTAACAGAAACAGGGAAACACCTGGCAATTAATTCATGAAAATGAGCCTTTTTAATCTAACATAATAATTGGTCCGAAGCTTGGTGCCAAAGTGCCACCTAGTGAGACGAGTCCCATGCTGCCCTGAATGAGCCCATGTGGACATGCGCCCTCATGCTCTTCCTCACGCGGCACGTGGACGGGCTGGACCCTGAGTGCATGAGGGGGATGGGCCACATGTCCTCTCCGAGCTGGGTTTTCCCAACTATATTTAAATAAGAAGAAAAGCCTCTGTGTTGAACTGAGACCTCTCCCACGTTCAGCCAGGTGTTCTCTGGATGTGTGAAGGTTAAGGATTTTGGGGGGATTGGCAGGGACAGAGAAGCACAGATGACACAAGGTGGGCCCAGGGTTGGTGAGGGGACTTGAGTGACAGATGTAGAGACTCACTGACACCCCACCTCAACTCTTGTATTTAAGTATTTCCATAATACAATCTTTATTTCGAGAGTACAGGCCACATAGCTTATCTTGTAAAAATCCCATCACACTGTGCTCAAAGGATCCTTAGGACTGAGGGTTCTCCATGGAGAGTGATCACCACTCCCATGGTGTTTGTCTCCATCACTGAGACCGGCTGAACTGTGTGAATTTCTCAGGGAGCTCAGCTTGTGTTCCAGGCAGGAATCCACCCAAATCAAACCCCGTCCCTCCCCTCCCTGGCCACCCTGTGCAGAGGCGGGGCGGGTCAGACCTGGGGCATCTGTCCGGCAGCAGGAGGAGGAAGGGGGGAGCCATGCTCAGTAGTCTATGTTGAAAGGATAGTCCTTGTGGTTTTTAGCTCTGAAAAACAGGAAAACAAATAAAAAATAGAGATGTTCATTCTTTTTAAAAGAAACATACTAAAAGCTACAGTCATGTACTTTCAAGCTCTCCGATGTATTAAATTAGTCTTTGGATTCACTCAGTGGCCCAGCCTCAAACAGGAAAGACTGATGAAAAGGCTTAATTTAACCTCAAACGTATATAATCAGCACCTCTTCAGGAACCAATCCCTGTCATGAGAGGAAGTAAAGGAGACATATTTACATGGGTAAGCTGCACATTCGGAAGTTCCTGTCTAGGCCGAGGATGTCATTCATATCCTGTTCTGATAATTCGAAGTCAAACACCTGCAGCCAAAACAGATGTTCACAGCCAGTTCAGATCGGTGAACATTTCGCTGAGCACGCGTCACCTGCAAGGCACTGAGCCAGGCCCATCGGGGACATGGCGCTGCGGATGAAACACTGCGTGTGACATCAGCAAATCCCCCAGAGCATCGGCCTCCGCACCCGCACGTGGACTGTGAGCCGCCGCCGCCGGATGCCGGCTGCCCAGGGCTGGGTGGGAACTGCATGCACCCCTCAGGAGTAAGGACATCCCAGAAGAGTTAAGAGGTGCAGCAAAGCATTTTTTCCCCACTGCTCAAAAAAACTAAAAAATGAAAAACCAAAGCCCCAAACCATTTGTGCCTCACACCCTGCCAGCCCGGAGGACACATGGGCCCCGGGACCGTTAAGTCTAACAGTATCTGTAACACGGTGTGATTTTCATGTCCTTTCCTTCTAAAGCAGAATTCTAAGCTGCCTCCCGCCACCCTGCCCGCCCTTTTGCTCTTAACACACTCGAGGACTAGGACTCACTCCTAAAATAAGAGCTTTTCTCCCAGGAGAGCCAACCCTAGTCGCTGCTGAGGAGCTGGGAGAGAAGGTGCAGTGGCTGGGGGCCCGGCCTCTCCCCACAGGGGATCCTCCACCCCAGTCCAGCAGAAACCAGGGACTCGGTGTCCACGCAGTTCTGACTGGAGGGCGGGCTGGGGCCCCGGGGGAGGCTGGGTTCAGTTCTGGAGGGCTCAGGGCAGCCCCAGGGCCAGCGGTCCTGAGGGTTGGGGAGCAGGCTCCTGGCTGGGCGGGCGCCCTGGGCGCCTCTGGCCGACTCCCTGGTTCATCACCTCTCCGTTCCCTGTTTCAGCTGGTTTGCCAGCTCCTAGGCCGGTGCGGTCACCCTCTCGGGTTCCTTGTGCTGTGGCCACGGCTTCATCCCGCCCCTCTGCCGTGTCAAAGCCACAGGGGGCCCGTTTGCTGCAGTGGTCAGACCCCCAGCTAACTAACATATGATCCCAAACCCTCCGAGTAAAAGAAGAAAAGCACTTTCCTGGATATTCTCAAGAATCCGCTTTGGGGTGACCGATTTGGGGATCACTATCACATTCCTCTGGATCTGAAATCGGAGCAAAATCTACAGAAAAAAAAGTCTAATATCAGACAAGGGAAATCCCATGGGGTTAGCTGTTTCCCGCGCAGTTTACGTTATATTGTGCAATGAAGTCCAAAAGTCAGGGGCAGCTGGAGCTTTTATTACAAGCTCTTCTGTTCCAAAATCCTTCAGGAACCAAACCGGCGTTTTCTGGACGGTTCTTCCAATGTGTGTGTAATGACTGACGGGGTGCCTGGGTGGCTCAGTTGGTTAAGC